TGTAATTACAGCATGTTGGAGCAGCATTGATGCACATGTATAGGTGCCCCATGAGCTTAAAGTTGTGCAAATACTTAAGGACTTTGCAGACAGAACCATAATATGTAAAAATGAATGGGAGTTTAGATCATGTTCTTGTTGTTGGCATACATTGTGTATGCCCACATTGTTCAAGTGTGCTGTTTAGTTTAAGTATGGCTAGATGCTCAGCTAACAAAAGGCTGCTTGCGTTGCTTGTCCTGCAGGAATTCTCTTTTCTGACATAGTTTTGCTGCAGCAACGTATTGACTCATTTAACTAAAAGGAGCCCAGCCTGACAATAGTTTAGAAGGTAAGAGAATTCTGCAGAAAGGACTTAGAAATGAGGCAGATTGTTAACAGTAAAGAGGAATAACCACTGGAACAAACTGCCCAGGGAAGTGAACAATACTCCGTTTCCTGATACCTTCTAATCAAGGCTACATGCTTTTCTGGCAGGTAGCTAAATACACATTATTGGGTGCAATGCAGGGGGAACAGTGAAATTCTATGCCTTGTGTTATTCAGGAGATCAGACTTGATAAGCAGCTGGCCCTTTCTGCCCTGGAAATCCATCAGTCTGTGAACTGCTCTTGAATAATGACATTGATCAAGGGAGATGATGGGTCAGATGCTCTACTGTTACTTCAATTTTATCCTTGTGCAGCACCACTGAAAAATTGAAGAGCCAGAGAGACAAGCTCGTGGGGACAGTTTCAGCAGCAGCCAGCTTTGAACAGTCAGAGAACTTTCAATAGCTTATTGGACTTCCTCTGCTCAGTGCTGAATAGCTGTCTGCTCCAATCCTCTCCTACTTCCTTCACAGTTTTGTCATCTTGGCTTCACTTCATACCTGCCCCTTTACTTCCAGGTCCCCCTGTCCTATCCTGTTTCCTTCACTATCTCTTTCCCCTTCATTTTTCTTTCTATTTAGCTTACTGTCATGCAGCAGCCCCCACTCCACTGTGGGTTTATCATCTCATTTGCTGTTATTGCATCATTTACTCCATTTGTGTGTTTTAATTTATTCCCAACCCTGTATCTTGCTCATTTAGATTGTAAGCTGCTCGGGTGGAGACTGTGTGGTAGGCTGCTTGCACAGGGCCAGCGCTTCAGGCTCCAATTCTTGGTTCACCCTTAGGCAGTACTATAATACATAGCATTATAATGATGTCTTATTATTAAAAAAGTAAGGAGAAAGGTAATGTAATGGCGATTTGGGTCATGAAGTAAATTGAGATTAAGTTTGTGATGGCCAGTGTTCTAACATCATATTGATTTGTTATTACTTTGGGGATAAAGCTTTGATTTATTTTGCGGGCCTACTCTTTGCTGTATGTTTTGCAGAGCCAGCCTTAGGGAAAATGGCATTCTGGGGGAATTTGTATTTTGGCACCTCCGCCCCCCACGCTCCCAAGTCAGTAGCACTGTTACAGGCACAAGCAGGAAGGCAGGGGCATGGGGTGCAGTCTGGTGGGGAGGCAGAGCTGCCCACACTGCTTGGCTCAGCTCCTCCAGAGCAGTGGCTGGAGATGGGAGGAGAGGGGCAGTCTGGGCTTGGGGCAGGGATCAGCTGGGGCAGGGCAGGGGGAGAGTACTACTGTGTGTGTATATGTGTGTGCTTCCCCCCTGAGCCCTGGGTGGTTACCCATGCTGCTCACCCCTAAGGCCAGCTCTGATGCTTTACGCTTGATACCACAGATTATTTTACTTTATCATTTGTCTATTTTGTTAATGGCAATGGTTAGCGATATTCATCTAGAAATATAGAGCTGCGTAACTGAGCATCACATTTAATGCTGTGGGACTTTCTTGCTGGAGCAGAAGAGGAGAAAAATACTGCAGTGTCACTAGATGGGATTCGTCGCAACTTTCCTCTCTAACGCTCTGACAATAGGCTGCCTGTTAGAAAAATGGAGCTCAGGTGTCCTTCCTGTCATTTGTTGAAATCAAGGGATTTTGAAAAATGTCACCATTTCTCTGCAGCTATTGCTGGAAGAGGAGTATAGCTATGGATAGAAGCCTAACCTATAGGTAAGGGGGGAAAATCAGGTTTGTTAGCATCCTTGTCTTCAGTGCAGTGCTCTTGAGTTTCTGCTGCAAAGGTCCCTGAATAAACAATGTGTTTTTAAATGCTAGGCATTCCTACTGGTGATTTTTTTTTTCTTCTTCTTCTAGTCTGAATTTTCAAGCCAAGGATGAGAGCCATGAGATTCATTAGTTTCCAAGCTATGCCTCAGTAAATAAAATAGTTATGGACTGTACCTTCCCATGCTGGCAGATTACATCACATGCCTTCTTATATTTCATCTCTCTCTTCTGTGTACTTGTTGCAGAGCTGAATTTGCTATGACTCACAGGCAGGGACTAAGGGACCTACTGTAGTGGGTTTGTAAAAATGTTGCTGTTTAGGCAGCTGATGCCACATTGATCCTGGCTCAGAATCTCGACTTTTTGTTGGTGTGAAATTAGAGCCTTAAAAATAATTTGAAGGTGAGTTTTAGGAATCTGCGACACTGAGCTGTAGCATGACAAGTAACTGTGGACTGGGAAAGGAACAAAACTGAGTGAAAATATCCTTTTTGCCACTGAAGAGGACAACTACCTTATAAACATATCTATTGTATCCCGTACTTCTCACCCAAGCCTTTGAAAGCTGAGAGATTAAATTTGTTTTCCTCTGAATGTTTGCCAAAAGGTAAGGGACAAAAATTGTGCTTGCCTTTTTCTCTGGTGTTTCCAGTAGAAAAGAAGCCAGTGCAGCTGAACTGGCTTTTCATTCCCTGTGTGTACCGACATCCCCAATCATCTCAGCCGTGATGTGCATGGCTTTGGGGATAATATTTAACTGAAGCAGCCAGAGGAGCACACGTGTTGTTTTGGGAGAACAGTCTTTTTTTTCCTTAATTTTTTCAAAACACCGTAACTCAAGGTACTTACAGTAAGAATTTTTTAAGAAGTTAAAAAAATCTAGTAGAGATTTGTTGCCAATTATAGCCTCTGATCATAAAAATGCTTAAAAAATACATGCAAAATTTCATACTTGTGCATAATCACATTGATGTCTATATCTGTTCTGATAGCCTTCATAATATTGTCAGATTATGCAGCTGAAATCAGGGATCTCTTGTTTGTAAAGTCACCCATTGTGGGTAAACATTTCAGATTCAGAACCTAAACCAAAAGTTACAATGTATCATATTTGGGACTTGAACTAAGGCAGGCAATAAAACTCGTCACCAAACCAGCCCTTAGAAGAGTCAGGTTCAGAACCTTTGTCTTCATTCCTGATTGAAAAACAGCTGGAAAAATGATGTTGCTCTGTAAACAAGCAATAAGAGTAATAACATGCGTGGCTTTGACAAGGACTTCCTGTGCAACCACAAGCGAGCTAATTAACCTTTCTCATCATGTTTCTTCATTTTGCAAAATGGACACAATAATAAATGCCCTCTTTTGCAGGGCTGTTTTGAGGCTATGCTCAATATTTGCAAAGCACTTTCTCAGGGATGGAAGGTGAAATAAAAGTGAACAGTGTTTTTTGTATTAGCAAATTTCTTGATTTATTTTTTATTGAGGGACATGATGCACCCAATTAAGAACAAAATCTCAGCAAGGGGTACAAATTACAGCTCAGTTGTGGCAGCTACTATACTTCAGGAGAACTTGCACTAAACCAGCTAGTGAAAGGCTAGTTCAGATATATCTCTACACAACCTGGAGTCACAGCAGTGACTGCAGCTGGAGATGTATTCTCCTGAGAAGCACAGTCCTGCCTAGAACACAGTAGTATATGAGGGATATATAAGCTGGATCATCCCTGAAGAGGAATGCAGTGTGCTGACTGCTATATAGGTGGGGCAAGTCCAGGGTTCTGGCCTTGGGGGTGGTTCTTATATGGATTGGATGGAGAAGGAGGTGACTGCTCTGGGACCAGGCACTTAGAGACCTGAAAGAAAAGAGACTTCTTGTGACTTCCTGCCCATCCCAAGCACCCGTGCAGCAGCGAGACAAAACCTGACCATCAGTCCCTAACTTTTCATTGCTAGAGACCTGAAGCTGAACCTGGCTGAGGTCCCAAGTGAGATCATTATTATTTCTATAGTTTGATTAGCATGGTCTACATCAGGGGTGGGCAGTTATTTGAGCCACATGGGGAGTTTTGATGAGCTGTTGTGGGCCGGGTCAGGACCACCCCCCTCAACAACTCACCAAAACTCCCTATGGGGCTGCAGGTGGGCTGGGAGTAGTGTTCAGGAGTGGGAGGGGTGGGCAAGGCTGGGATCATGGGGTTGGGTTGTTGGGTGATGACAGCTTAGGTTTCTGGGGGGGATGTGGGTGTGTGTGGGGCGGGGAAGAGGGGAGGCTGCCTGGAAGCTAGGTCCTGGGGACCTGTCATGGGTCAGGGGAGGGAGGGGAAACAGGTTGTGCATGCAGCAAAACTTGCCCTGGTGATGTAGTCTGCATTGCCCCTGTGACACTCAGCATGGGGCTGTGCCCCGCACACTTGCAACGGGGCAGGCCACCCCACTGGTGCCTGTGGCCCAGCCCAGCCAGACACTGTTCTGCTCCCCCCACCTCTATCTCCTGCTCCTGCTCTTTTTCCTTGCTGTGCTGTGCTGTGCTGCTCTGGGCAGGTGGCTTCAGGTGGGTGGCTCCTGCCCCAGCATGTGGGGCTGTGATTTCGACTTCACTAGAAGGCAGCTGGGAGCTGGAGTCAGAGCTTCGTGCACTGGAGTTGGAGCCCCGCATACTGGGGCAGGAGCCAGCCGGCTGAAGCTACCTGGAGTGGCACAGCACAGCATGGTGCGGCAAGGACAAGAGCAGGAGCTGTCACTAGAGGTGGGGGGACCAGAGCAGCACCTGGCTGCCACTGCACCAGAAGCTGCATATGCCAGTGGGAGTGTGGAGCGGGCTGCCTGTGGGCTGTATGTTGCCCACCCTTGGTCTACATGAACTGTGCCAAATCAAAGAAGGGTATTTACAGGATGCAGTTCAAGTGAGTTTAGTTGCTTTGCTAGAGTCTCCAGAGACAATATGCCCAGAACAGGACATCATTCTGCCATGAACAACTGCCTCCAGTGCAACACCAGAGAGAGAGGCTGACACAGGATTTAAATACTTTGGCTCAGTTGAATATGGAAACTTGCCTCCTAGTGCCACCAATATACAAATGATATCTATTGCTATCAAGTTTCCCACAATTTGTACAAATACCTGCTGCATGTAGAAAGAGTGCTGGCCACAAGGCAGGATGCACTTTCTACCATTTTCATCCTCTTGAGCTTGCACTTCCGTCTGACAAATACAGAAGGTGTTTGTACTCTACACCATGGGCATGCTCACTCTGAAAGACTTTGCTCTCCCTTGAAAGGATAAATAACAGGACTGGCACAGAGCAAGGCTTGATTAGTATTGAGTGTAAGTTTTTTTTCTTGACAAGTCTTTGGCACATCTTTGATTACTCACCTCTTTGCGCTGCCAAGTCCTTGCAAGACGTACTGAATGTCCAGTGCCAAACAATCTCTTTAAATATTAATCAGTAGAAGAGTGCATGAATTCTACAGCTGAAAAATCATGCTTAGGTATTATTTGAGCTAAAATAAAAGGACTTTGTGCCATGTTTGATTTTGGCACATTGTTTTTTCCCCATAAACCAGTTAACTATGGAGATTCAGATTGTGGCTGGCCATTGTTTATGTGTATATATATATGGAAGTGCGACTCTTGCTTCTTCCATGAGCTCCCATTCCAGGGGGATTTTCATTTTGAGGGGTTTTTTTTTGCTGGCTTGACTATCAGGGTTGTGCAGAAGTAGCAGTGCTTGCAGTACCAGAGAGGATGGAAAGGAGGTGGGCCTTTTCCTCCTTCTCACTGACCAGTCAAGCTGACTCAGCAGGCATTGGAGAAGACATCAAGAGTCCTCTGCAGAGATGTAGCAGCCGATGATTCTTTGCTCCCCACAACTTCCACCCAAGCCCCTGCCTTATCTTCAAAACAAGTGTGTGCCCTAGTAAGCTCAATAAAGTTCTTATATCTCAATAAAGCTCAATAAAGTGTTGCTTTTTACATGGTGTAGGAGAAAACAGTGTGCATGATGGGGGTTTCCTGCATGGTGTGTATGTATTTTACTATTTAAGGAAAATTCATGTTCTGATCCTGGAAGGTGTTAGTTGCCTTCTATTCCTGTTTCACAGACTTGAAGGAAATTACTCTGTATAGTACCAAAAAAACAAAAGCAGAACAAACAGAAAACTCTTCTGTACCAAAAATAAGGAAATATATAATTTTACATGCATCAACATGCAAAGAAAGAAAGTAATTTTACATGGTCACATCCCAGGAAAGAGAACTGAAGCGAGAGACCTTGAATCAGGCCTGATATCCACTTCCATTGTAAAATGTATGTAAGATATTCTGAGGGTTTTTTTGTTTAAGGAGCCCTGTTTTAGCATGGG